GTTTTCCGTCCTCTTCTCCAACACGCTTAAATTAAATAATTTATTACTGTTAAATACCAAGCGGGAGCATGGCGATTCCCGGAGGGATCCCCCCGGGAAGGGTTTTTGGGGTCTCTTTGTCTTGCTCCGGGATGATGGGGTGCAGGGAGAAGGGTGCTGTCGCCCGCAGTGGTCCCGGCTCCGTGGGGTGTTGTGGGAGGGGAAGGGCAGCGGGTCCCCGCCATTAACACAATCCCTCGCCCTCTTCCTAACAGAGTCTCCCGCCAGTTCCCGGGTCACTCGGAGCTCTGGCCGGCAGCCGACCATCCTGAGCATGTTCTCCAAAGGGTCAGTACGGTGGCAGGGCTGGGACCTGCACCTCCTTTGCCGCGTTCCCCCAGGAGCCTTCACCCTCTTCTTCCTCTCTCCGCCGTCCAGGGCCGATGGGTTCGATCCCAAAACTCGTGGTTCCCAACGAGAGTGGCCTTGGGGACCTGCCGGGCGCTTCCCCGGGGAGCCCCGCTCCTGGATTGATCCGTTGCGTTTAAAAACCGGCAGGTCCAACAAACGGAAATCGGAGGAGGTGAACGGGGAAGTGAAGCAGGAGGTGATGAGCGTGGAGAAGGAGGAAGAGGAGCTGGAGGAGAAGGTGCGTGCCGGCACTGCTGGCAGGGCGAGGTCTTGGCCGGCTGCTTTGCCGGGCCGCCGCCGCCGCGCTGGGGTTGAGCGTGTTGTCCTCCCCTCAAGGAACAGGATGAGAAAAGGATTAAAATCGAAACCAAAGAAGGGTAAGGAGGAAGGAGAGCGTTCCCCGCTTTGGGTCGGTGCCTGTCGGTGCCCATTTCCCTCCGCCGTGGCCTCCCTAGCGCGGGGACGATGACGTTAACGCCGCTCTTCATCCCTTTGTATTTTCTTACACCCAGGTTGGAGATAAAAGATGAAATTACTCAGGTTAAAACTACACCACCTGCTAAAGTAAGTTCCTCTACCTCCATCTCAGCATTTTGGGGGCTTTTTTTTAAATGCTTTTAACTCTTTGGAACAGTGGCTGGACTTCCCTAAAGGAAGGAGAAAGCCATTTCCAGCCCACGCAGCTTCCAGAAATCCACCCCCCTCGGGGAAGGTGGGGAGCAGCACAGCCTGTGCGAGCTTGGGCCGCTTTCGAAGCGAGGGCAGGGGCCGCTGGTTTGCTGCCTGGATGCTTTAAAAACGAGGGTTGCGCTAACGAACGGGACCGTTTGGGGAAGGAGCTTTGAGCCCCATCGTGGGCTGAATCTCACCGGGGAGAGAAAAGCCGACGGCGTCTCCCGTGTCTTGCAGACCACCCCTCCCAAGTGTGTCGACTGCAGACAGTACCTCGATGATCCCGACCTCAAATTCTTCCAAGGGGATCCTGATGATGCCGTAAGGGATTTAATGCTCCTTCTCTGGGGCCGGGGAGAGCCGTCGCGCTGACGGGAGCGCTCGTTAAACGTCCTTCTCTCTCCCTCGCTCAGCTGGAGGAGCCAGAAATGCTGACGGATGAGCGCTTGTCCCTCTTCGACGCTAACGAAGATGGCTTCGAGAGCTACGAGGACCTGCCGCAGCACAAAGTCACCTCTTTTAGGTGAGATCCGGGAAATCAGGCTATAAAAAACCCGCTGGATTTGCAAACCCTGCAGGACACCGCATCAAACTACAACCTCTGTCCCTTGCCAGCGTCTACGACAAGCGAGGTCACTTGTGCCCCTTTGACACCGGCCTGATCGAGAGGAACATCGAGCTGTATTTCAGCGGTGCCGTGAAGCCCATCTACGACGATAACCCTTGTCTGGACGGTGAGTTGGATGCGGAGGAGCCTCTAGGGCTGCGGGGACGCTGGTTTGTCACCTTAAATTTCAGCTCAACGCCACGCGTAAAATGAAGTTGGGTCTGGGTGGCGCTTTGTCACCCACAGCTGCTTGGTTTTTTTGGACACCGAAAACTGAGATTTGTGTTTTCTCGCTTTCAGGTGGGGTGAGAGCCAAGAAGTTGGGGCCCATAAACGCCTGGTGGATCACGGGGTTTGATGGAGGGGAGAAGGCTTTGATCGGCTTCACCACAGGTGGGTGAGCGAGGACGGGGGAGGTTGGGCTCGGGGAGCACGTCTGGCTCGGGATTTAAGTCTCTGCCGCGCGTCCGGCTGGCGAAGGAACTTTATTTGGGGTCGTGGACTTTGCTGCCGCCACGAACTTACCCTGTCAAGCACGTGCCGAGGTGGAGGACCATGCTGAAGCTTGGGTCTGGGTTTATTTAGCTCAGCAGCACCCAGGCTTATGTTAAATGCGTATAAAACCTCCTGCTGAGCTTGGGAGGGTCCCTGCACGGAGCTGGGACAAGCAAGGTGGCTGGAGGGGCATGTCTCCCTGCCAGCCCTTCCCAGGCAGGATCCATCCTCCGGTCCCTCCTCCGCGGGAAGCTGCCGGCGCAATGCGGGGACGGGCTCAGGGTCGCTTTCGGAGGGAGTTTTCTCTTTGCTCTTGACCGCTTGGCCCCGGTTGCAGGGCTCTACTGTTGCTTTCTTGCTCTGCTCTCCGGGCTTTTTTGGACAGGTTTGTGTTGAGAAAGGTCTTGGAGGAATGCCCAGTCCCGGCCGGCCCTTGGCTCTGTGTCCCAGCTGGCTTTTTCACTCTCTAGCCAAATTGGGGGAAGAAGGGCTGATATTTGGGGGTTTAAAAGCTTTTTCCCTTCACCATTTCTGCAAGGAACCCTTCCAATAACCTGGTGATATCAGAGAAGGACTTAACTCTCCTGTGCATCAGCAAATGGAGTTTGTAGTGACAGCAAAACCCCCCTGGATTGTCTTTGGTTTCTAATTAGGTAACAGCAAAAATAAAAGGCTAACGCGTGGATAGCGTGTCCCACCTCACGTCCCCACTTCCCCCCTCGCTTTGGTGGTGATAGCTGAGTGACCGTGGGTCCCGGCTCGTGGTAGAGCTTCCCCGCACGCTTAGGTCCTGGTGCTGTAGCAGCGTGGATGGGCTGGTCTTCCCCTCCCCGGGACCCGCTCGCCGCAGTCCTAGCTCGTCCTTAAATACCGCTAAATTCCCCGGTATTGAACCGCCTGCCGCCATCTCTCCGTCGCAGCCTTTGCGGATTATATCCTGATGGAGCCCAGCGAGGAGTACGCTCCCATCTTCGCCCTCATGCAAGAGAAGATCTACATGAGCAAAATCGTCGTCGAGTTCCTGCAGAACAACCGCGACGTCAGCTACGAGGATCTGCTCAACAAAATTGAGGTGAAAAGCCGACGGCGGCAGTATCCGGGGGTGGGTGCTGCTCTGCCA